TTTATGTCTTCACTCATCTTTATATTGAGCCTCTATTAAAAATGTTAAACAAATGTTTTGAACAACTTTCATTGGAACTGGAGTTTTTTTTTACGAGATGTTTTGAATTAAATTACTGATTTGGTTTTGTTATTTCCATTGAGATTTTTAAGTTATGAGATGAGCTGATTAACTGTTGCCTTGAGAGGCTATATTTGTTTTCAGTTAATTGCTGCACTTAGTTGCTATTTATCCTTGTAGTACATATTTATGGAATATTTGATATTTGGGTTATTTGAGTATGCACTGATGAGACTTAAACTGTTAAATTGAAAGTATAGTTATTCTTATTGAAAGTTATTGAGATAACTGTATTTGCATAGCTCGTCACTACTTCTCAGTTCCTTATTTATTTATGTTACTTACTGAGTTGGTGTACTCACGTTATCCCCTGTACCTCGTGTACAGATCTAGACACTTCTGGTCACGGTGGTTGCTGATTGAGGAGTCAGACTCAGGAGACTATTGAGGCAGCTGCATGGCGTTCGTTAACCTTGACTCTCCTTTCCTTTCATATTCTACTGTTCTATATTTTCAAACAGTGTTTTATCAGTCAGATTTGTTATCATTTAGATGTTCATGCACTCAGTGACACCGGGTTTTGGGGATGGATTGTATAGTAATTTTGGAGTTATATTCTTTTTTTTTAAAAAGGATTTCTTTAATATTAATTGCTTCCGCCTTTATTTAAAAGTTCTACTATGTTGAGATGTCGAGTTGAGGCTTGCGTAGTTCAACAATAGGCTCCATCACGACAGGTGAGATTTTGGGTCGTGACAAGTTGATATTAGAGCACTAGGTTTCTTATCATGCGACATTGATTAAACTTGAAGCGTAATTCCTTGAATTCCTTCCACGATTAGTGTGTGCACATGAGCGCTCAGTATCTGTTGTGTATCGACAGTTTGTGATTCCCTGGATAAGGTGCGATATGTGATTTCTGCATGTGATATTGGGCCAATCTGGAGGACTTGAGGCCAGGTTTTATCTATGACTTGAGTACTGAGATTTTGATTATGTGAGCACATGCATTTGGGACTTATATGTCCATTTGTGTCCTTACTAGTGGGATTTGTGACTGGATGACTAGGGGTGAGTATGATTTAATTGCGAGATGTGTTCAAATTTTTTGAATGTGACGGGAAGAGTTTGCTGAGGATGTATCAAGGATTATTGGGTGTTTGACTTCTGTCTTGAGTTGGCATATGGCTTCGAGCTATGGGTGTATTGAAGGACCTCTCATGTAGTTTAGTTGTTGAGCGAAGTAAATTTTCATGTTGTGTTATGAGTTCAAACTCAGAGGGGGGTTAAGTGATTGTGTAATAGTTATTATTATGGAAAAGTATAGAGAGATACGAGTTTGAGGCTAAGCAAGTGGATTATCTCCTACGGGATGTTCTGAAGTTTGTATGATCCTTATATTGTTGGTTAGAAGTCCTCTTTTACCAGTGAAATATACGTGTTGCAATTTGAGTTTGGATTGCTTATGAGAATGGGCTTTACTGTTACGAAGGTGAATGCAAGATTTGCAAATGGTTTGAGGAATAAGATGGGTTGTGTTGCATTAGCTTATGAAGGATTTAGCTTAATCTCATCCAGTTGGGGCAGCTCAACCAGTTATTGCGGCATGGGACAATGACAGACCTACCTTGTCTTTTGAGGCTTTGCTGAGATTGGATAAGTTTACCTAGCTATTTCTAGTCCATTTCAATGGTACACCTTTTGAGGAACCACAGGATTTTCTGAACCGCTGCCATGAAGTATTGCAGAATATGGGAATAGTTGAAAGAAATAAGGGTTAATTTTACTGTGCTACAAATGACGGCTTCCGCTAAGAGGTGATGGAAAGATTAGGTATTTACTAGACCCGTTATAGTTCCGCTATGAGAAGATCACCCAGTGAATCATGCAGGGGTGCAACGGACCTTGACGTCTGGTTGATTTATATGAGTTAAAAGGTTAGTATTATGGATTATTGGACGTTGTGACCCATGACTTCGTGCAAAATAGGGATGTCCACTATCAATGAATAGATCAAATAGTCATGTGTCATATCAGTTTTGACCTGAAATATATATATNACCTCTTTAATTATCCAATACTTCAATATCAAAGGAGTTAGAAAAACAACTATAAATTTATAGAAGGTCTGCCCAGTGTGGAAGTCAAGGTTGCAGATTTTGGATGCTTCAAAGGAAGTACAGTGGTTGACGATCTTCTAGACTATGTAGTTCGTGCCAAGATTTATCTTGATGGAGCTATATTTTTGTGATCGTTGTGCATAATTAGGGGAAAGAGTTACCCAAATAAGAATCGAAGAGTATACGAATAAATATATTAGCTCAGCAGTGTTGAGTCAACATAGCAAAAAAAAGAAATTAGCCGTCGGTGTTTGTGGCAAGCCTATGAAGAGGGCAGACTAGCCAATGCAACACCACCTACTCAACTCAGTTCTTAGAAATGTTTTTAAAGAAGTTGTCTCCCAAATTCTCTGTAATATGTGGTATATGTGGTCTGAACGGTTGTGTTAGGTCACCATGACAGTGTCAGAATATGTCATCAGGTTCAATAAGTTAGCCGTCATACTCCTACTTTGGTTCCTAAGCTAGAGAGCGAGTCTACAGACTCATTAAAGGACTCAATTATGATCTTGAAATTTAGTAAAATCCGGGAAGCTACAGGTTGATGCTTCATTTCGGATAGTGGTAGAAATTGCTAAAATGTTAGAATGTGTTCTGGATGAGGAAATAAAAGAAAGACCAAGAGGTCTCGAGGTTTTAAAGGATTCAACGGATTCTACTCTACAACTACAAATCATTATGACAGGGGCTCGGGTAGCCGGCCAGCCCAGTCAATATATCTGATTACTCAGGGTGCTCCAGTAAGTTCTTTTAATGCACTATCGATACGAGCTTTGTATAATGGTTATTCCAGTTATCTAGCATAGACTCAGTATGAGCAGCTGAACCCTCAAAGGGATTGTTATGAATGTGATAGTACTACATACATCATGGGAAAATTGTCCTAGACTTGGGAGAAACATATTTTATCAAAGCACACAGGCTACGTGCCCCATTGCAGTTACTACTCCACTTAAATGACCAGCCAGAGGTAGGGGTCAGGATGTTAGAGGTGGAGGTGAGACTCCTGGAGGTGGAGACCCCGCCTGTTGATATATTTTCCATGGTATGGTTGAGGTCGCAACACCAGATGGTGTCGTTACAAGTACGGTCTCGAATTATTATAAAGTAATAATTTTCTTAACTTGATTCGGTTCTGAGTATCGAGGCAAGTCCTCCTATTGTGCTCCACTTATGAGTGAACTTCGTAATTCTGAAATCTACTTATATGAATACTCCTTTTGGGAGATTCGATGGAGATAGCTATGTCTATCATTATGTGTTGTGATTTTGTTAAACAGAAAATTATTCCAAAGAAGAAAATGGAATGTTCCAATTTGGCACGATGTGCATATTACTTGTGGTACAGAGTTGAGGACGAGATCCTCGTGTTTTATATAATGTGAAATATATAAATCGGGCTACAAGCTGCAGTAGATGTTATATAAGGACGAGGTCTTTGTGGTGAAAAAAAATTTATGTGTTTAAATGCTCCCTTTGTGAAATTAAAATTTGCACTATAGTACTTATAGGGAGTCATGCCTATTAGACTTATCTGCAAAAAAAAAAAAAACAATTCTTGTATGAATATCTTTTTGCATAATTGCCAGGTTTGTATTGTAATTATTGAGTTTTAAACTACAAGGTGAGTGCCCGAGGATGTAAATTGTTACTCATTAATTCGGGTAAGTAATTATGAGATCTTCATGCCTTGTTGTTAGTAAACTGGAGGTTTAAAACCATATTTTGTTAACACGAGGTTAATTGGCGATGTTGTAATCTATTATGAACAACTATTAAGACCAGAGATGTAGTTATGATCATACATATGATGCATTTTATGTCAAGATATCATTGTGATAATGTCATGCTTGTAATGCGGAGGTTAGTGTTATTGATATATACCTTGTGGTTCTTTGCTGGGTTGTGGACATGTTGCTATAGCCAGTCGAGACTAATATCGTGTGTTGATGAGAAAATCGGACTTTTCTGGAAATGATTGGAGTGTAAGAAATTTGGTCTTAAAGTTTACAAATATGAATAAAATAAATAATCTCGATTGAAATAGTATTGTCAGACTTATGTTGAATGCGGTAATGTGGGATCAACCGCGAATAGTTGTGTAAAAGTAAAATCATCAATTTGGTAACCTGAGAATAATTCTTAGTACGTTCGAGGACGAACATTTGTTTTAGATGTGGAGAATGTGATGACACATAATGTCATCTTTAAATTAAATAATCATCTCGGTATTTTAAAACCTTGAAAAGTAGTATCAATAATTCCTCGACTTGCGTGCGCAGTCCGTATAATTTTCCGGAAGGTTTTTATATGAAAAATGGATTATATAGTGAACTAGAGCTTTAAAACTCAATTGAGTTGACTTCGGTCAACATTTTAAGCAAACCAACCCGGATAAAAGTTTTGACAATTCCGGTAGTTCCGTATCGTGATTTGGGACTTGGTCATATGCCCGAAATCGAATTCAGAGGTCCCTAGATCAAATTATCGCCATTTAATGGAATCTAGAAATCCAAGGCTAAAGATTTCTTAAGTTTGACCGGAGATTTAACTTTTTGATATCGGGTTCAAAATCTAGTTCTGAAAATTTTCATAGTTTCGTTATGTCATTTATGACTTGTGTGCAAAATTTAAAGTCAATCGAATTTGATTTGATAGGTTTTTGCATCGAATATAAACGTTGGACGTTCCTAGTTTCATTAGGCTTGAAGTGGGGTGTGATCAGTGGCGGACCCAGGATTTTTATCAAGCGGGTTCAAAATTCAAAGAAATAAATATTCAAAGAGGTCAACAAAAACTATATATTAATCGAATATATTATTACAACTGTCCTCTACGAGTTTTCATGTCCTGAAACGTATTTATAATAGTCTCATCAAAAATGGCGTTAAATATTTTTCTTTCTACATAGGGTACCAAACAACCGCTCATGAATTCGTCATTCATTCGGTTTCGCAATTCACTTTTTATCAACTTCATCGCCGAAAAAGTTCTTTCAACTGTAGCAATGGCAACTGGGAGAAGCAAAGCAAATTTTACAAGGCGAAACACAAATGGATAATTCAAATGCTTCTTTGTCTTAACTAGTGTTTCAGAAAGATCAACAAGTCCTTGTAGATTTGAGAACCTTTCATCAACATCACGAACATCAACAATATAAGTTTCAAGTTGATTCTTGAGCGTAACCATTATATTCTCATCAAAATCGTCAGGATACAATTCAACCATCATCAATATCTTGTTTATGTCAAAACTGGAAAACGAATCAACTGGATTTAAGCAAGCTACTCCAACAAGCAAGTTCGTTGTCACCTCATTAAAACGAGCATTGAGTTCTTGAACTTGCCAATCAATAATCATAAAAAATATATCAACACGATAGTGATGTAAAATAGTATGATCAGCAACTTTACATCGAGATCTTCTAGAGTTAACATAGAAGTCATCAAAGTTTGGTATCGAAATATTATACTTGACACAAAATGCAGACACCTTATCAACAAGTAAACCTCATTCTTCTTCTCTTAGCTTTTGCAACCGTTTCTTTGCCACTTCAACAAGTAGAATAGCATTTGCAATACCTTGCTCCTTTTTTTGTAAGGATAATTAAGCTCATTTGTGATCCCAAAACATCTCTTATTAGGTGCAACATGAAAGCAACCTCAAACGTTTGACAAGTGCTAAGATATCCCTTTGCCTTAGCTCTTTCTTCTAAAGTCCGGGCATCAACAACGATAGTATCAAGAACATCAATAATTGATCCAAACATAGAAATAAAGTTCTTAAAATATTTGTAGTGCGAACCCAACGAGTATCGGCAGCTCTTGCAAGACCAAGTTCTTGATTCAAACCCCTACCAGTTTCAAGTTCACCCATGTCTAATGGTTCTTGAACTTTTTCTGCTTAAGATTCTCGAAGATCATCCATACGTTTAAAAGAACCTCCCACTATATTCAATATATTAGAAACCAACAATACAAGTTCTCCCACTTCAAGATATTTTTTGGATACCGCAACAAGAGTCAATTGAAGTTGGTGTGCAAAACAATGAATGGAATAAGCGGATTTACTTTCTTGTTGAATCAAAGTTTTGAGGCCACGAAAATCCCCTTGCATGTTGCTTGCTCCATCATAGCATTGTCCATGCACATAAGATAAACTCAAAGAATGTTGAGCAATGTAATCAACAATTGCTTCCTTTAAACATAAAGCTCTAGTATTACGAACATGAATGATCCCAATAAAATGCTCCACCACAGATCCACATCTATTAACATATCGCAAGACAATAGCTAATTGCTCTTTGCGTGATACATCACATGATTCATCAACTAGCAATTAAAAAAAGTCTCCATTTAGATCATCCATAATTGCTTTAACTGTTTCAATTTTACATGCAATAATAATGTCTTTTTGAATTTTATGGGAGGTCAACTGATCATTCTTTGGAGCCTTTTTCAACACAAGATCACGGATTTTATTGCACCTCCCTGCATACCATGAAAGAATCTCAAGAAAGTTTCCCTTGTTTAATGATGATTCATCTTCATGATGTCCACGAAATGTCAATCCTTGATTCAACAGGAGTCTCACAACCTCAATTGAAGCCTTCAAGCGAAAGCTTGGTTTGACTGGATTGCCTATCAAATGAAGTTTGAATTGACTGCTTTTTTTTAATAGATCTTCACATTTCTTTTTTGCATGATTATGAATACTGCTTGACTTGCCAACATGCATATCGAATCTCTTCTTTTTTGCCAACTCTTAAATCCTAAACTTGAAAATATATCGCCTCCACCTTGATGGACGTCTTCATCTTGAAACAGGTAACAACACAAACAATAAGCTGCATCTTCTATCACACTGTACTCCAACCAATTACGATATTCATCAAACCATTTAGGATTGAAACGACACTTTAAGCCCGAAAAATCTCTTTGAGGAAACTTATGATGTCGGGGTTGGCAAGGACCTCTTCGGAGATATTCTCTTCTCATCTCATCACGCTCATTTGGATGATAATCTCTAATGGGTATTCTCTCCTTTGGATTAGTCGGTAAAGAATCAAGATCTATTCCTTGTCTTTGTCTTTTAGAGGATTGAGGTTGCTCTTCTAATTGGTTCAAATTTTGTTCCACGGGAGTAGCAATTGGAGAGGATGAACTTGGTTATGGCAACTTGGAAGATACTGAAGAGTAAAATCTGTTCATTGTAACACAAACTGGATTACCAAGCAACCATAAGCAAGTCAGTAACCATAACAATCAAAATTCCAGCAACCATAACATCAAAATTCAGGTAACAAGAATAACTGATCCAACAGATTCTTGGTGTTGTTTGGTATAGAAGATGTGTTCTGATTGATAGTGAAATTCATTGGATTTCAATAAAGTCTAAAATTAACAATTGTAATCCTTTCAGATAATTACAGTAAAAGACACAAAATCAATCAACTTTCAAAGACTACTAAAGATTCTTACGAAAATGTAGTCTCGAATTCCTTTAAAAATATCTAATTAAAGGATTCAACCAAAATCTTGAACAAAAGTGAAAACAAGACTTGAGAATAAATAAATTCAGATGGCATATTAGTATTTCTATTTCTAGAAGACATAATGCCTAATAATATCAATTCAGAGAAGAGAACAATCAAAAAAAGATAAGAAAGCAACTGGTGATGCACAAGCACAGAGATAAGAAAGCACATACATTTAAAAAATTGAAAAACCTGCCCTCCTTAGGCTTTGTCACTGAAAGAAAAAAAAGATTAAAAATCAAAGAGAAACCTGATAGATACTAAGATGAAGCCCTTTGTCTTTGAGAGAGACGACCTTCTGGGCATGGGCTAACGGAGGAGATGACTATGGAAGCAAATCTTGAGAGAGAGGGAGAGAGAGGCATCGAAGGGCTTGGGATTAGAACTGATTGTGTTCTGATTTGGGGAACTGATTGTCTAGATAACGTAAGTCTAGAAAATATTGAAGAACTTCTTGTTAAGAAGTTAGGTAAATTTAGAGTTAGTCCTCTAAGTTTAGAGCATGCATTTACTAGTAATCTGAAAGTAGATGATGAGATTAATAAAATCTCTGAAAAGTATGCTCGGAAACCTTACCAAAGAATGTTTTACTATCCTAGACCAACTCCTCAAGATGTTCTAATAGAAGAACAGGACAATGACCACTACCACTAAGATTATAGTGGGTCAGATATCTACGAATGGAACATAGATGGTCTTGCTGAAAGGCAAATATATACAACAGTACATAGAATGCTTATGTACAGTACTATCTATAAAGTTAATAAAAATACAAATAGATCAATAGCAGAAATGATTATTGCTAGATTTACTGGTCAGCTGAAAGGATGGTGGGATAATTATCTTGCTAATGAGCAACGCTTTCAAATAATGAATGCAACCAAGACTGAAGATGAAAAGACTGTTCAAAACTCAGTCTATTCTTTAGTCATGAATATTATCGAACATTTTTCTGGAAGATGGTCTGATAATAGTGAGACCATTAGAACAATGCTCCAGAATTTGAGGTGTAAAACCCTCACATCTTTTAGATGGTACAAAGATATTTTCTTGTCCAGAGTGATGGAACTGCCAGAGAGTAATAGTACTTATTGGAAGTCCAAATTCATAGATGGACTCCCTCCCTTATTTGCTGAAAGGATTAGAAAAGTCTTTAGAGGCGCAGGGATGAGTATCGATTATAATAATTACTCATATGGTAAACTATTTAGTGTATGCACTCAGGAAGGTTTAGCTCTGTGCAATGAGATCAAGTTAAATCAAGAAATTAAGAAACATCCTCTCACTGAGATACAACAATTAGGTGATTTCTGTGAACAATTCGCCATTGATATACCATCCAAAAGAAAGAAATCCCATAAAAAGGATTTCAAGAATAAGAAGGGTTTGCCGGAAAAACGGCACGAAAAGACCCAAAGAAGGAAGGCTTTTCATAAAGCCAGAAAGGGTTTTATTAAATCTAAAAACCCTCAGGCCTGTTATAAATGTGGAAGAGTAGGCCATTATGCAAAAGATTGTAAGATCAAAGATAAAATCAAAGAACTTGATTTAGATGATCATATCAAAGATACTTTATGTAAGATTCTTTTGAATTCTTCTCCAGAAATATCTGACACTAATGAAGGATCTTCATTAACAAGTGAAGATATCATAACCCAAAAATCCCTCCAAAGAAGTCGTGATGGCACTTAGTCTCTAAACTAGGTAAGCCTAACATTTACTGTAATAATATGGGTATTTACAAACTTCAAATAAAATTACTCTGAATAAAATACAATTCCCAAAACCGGTAGTACAAGTCATAAGCCTTTCTAGGAGTAGTCATACAACA